AATTCTTATAATATTAGGCACGACACAACTACTACAGACCTTCCACCAACTGAAGGGATTGCATCTAAGAATGCAAGCACTGGGAGTGAAAGACTTAACAAGGAGGCTATGCATGAGGGTCAAACGAGCATGGTAGACGTACCAGCGGACGCGCGAGATATCCACCCGGGTACTATACTAGACTGCATGAGGGACCGCATCCAGAATGAGGCCAATCAACACACACACTGACACAAACAACACGAACTAACCATCTAGGTTAAGTGGTGGACAGTGTGGTCACCAACATGGTTTTAAAATCGCCATGTTTTACAGAGAGATGATTGAAGACTGAAGAGGATAACGTGGATAGTCCTGACTGATCCATGCTGATTGTCTGAAGCTCCTATACGACCCGTAACCACGAGCTGAGTATAGCTGTCTGAACCAAAAGGAGCACCTGATCTACTATGGTGGCAGCCTCCATGCCATAATACTGGGCGGTTAGGCGATGACCTGATGGCCCTGGAGGAGAGTGTTTTTCAGTTGATAAGAAACCAGAAACAACTTCCTACACCTAGACAATGCAGCAAGCCTCTACCTGAAGGTGTATTGTTACTTTACCTGACGAATTGTAGGAAACTCTCGAAGGTGTTCCAGGTTAGGTATGGTCGAAGGACAATTGTGGAATAGGCAGGTTACTTCACTTTCAGTTGAAGAACGATCGGGTTGATACGAGAATTCGAGGAAGAATATTACTCTTTAGTCACCATGAGTGTATTTACATATTTTCCTTTATCTGGCATAAGTTTGGTTGTGGATTAATTGGGGGATTATATGTTCTATGTATTTAAGCCTTTTTTTTCCAAAGATATCGAGATGACAAGTAACTGACCAGTTTAAATAGTTGGGCACTAGTGAAGGAGTCATTTCATGGGTTGAAACCAGCCGTTGCTTCGATCGGTGAAGGTAATGCTGTTCTGATTAGCCGTACAGAGCGTCGGCCAGATGCGGTGATACTCTAGTTATACTATATTTGATGCAATAGTCGATATAATGTAACTAGTTACTTATGCTGATAGGAAAATCTGAGAGACTAAAGCCACAGAATAGAGTTTGGTGGTAGTGAGGCTCGTTAAAGTGTATTACTTGGCTTTTATAAGGTCAGTTGTAGACTACCATGCACTGCATTTGTTGCAGAGTAAAGAATCAGAAATAAATAGTTTGGAGGTAGTGCAAAATGAAGCTATGAGGACTATCCTCGGCGCCCCGAGAACAGCAAGGATAGTGAACATGAGATCAGAACTAAACTTACCATCCACTTCTGATAGAATAATATCTATTTTCACCATATTTGAGGTCAAAGCTCTGCGGGAACCCTTTTATCTTTCAGATTTCCAAAAACAACTGCAACATAAAACCACGCAAGCAGACATGACTAATCACACACGCGCGCGCCCTCTGATACACAAAATCTCCATGCACATTACAAAGCTCAATGTCTCAATTAGTAAAATACGAAAAGGTCGATCCATTCCACCATGAAAAAAAATCAACATTGATTGTACACCTTACATGTCTATCATAACTGCATATTCAAAAGAATTGTGTTAGCAACGGTAAAGGAACACACACAATCTATGGGCAATGATGTATACGAGTATTGCGCTGACGAATCCGTACAGTCTGGATACAAAGCTGGATGTGCTTGCGCTGTATACAAAAATGACTTACTACAACATCACTACAACAATGTGGAAGTTATGAATAAAGTAAATATTAGCAGCGGCCATAGAATGTTCAGAGGCCAAATTAGATTACATCTAATAAGGATAAGCAACAAACTAATGCGAAAGCCGCAGCCAAATTTTGTTAACTTGAAGACCAACAGAGCGACTGAATTTAGCATTAACATCCAAAACAGATATTCACTTCTCAGTGACGAAGATCTCAGCACTGACCAAATCAACAAACAGTTCAGTGACATAATAAAGGAAGCTGCACTGGAAGTAGACGGTAAGAACGTCAAGCAAAGCTCCAGCAAGCTCACGAGAGAGACTAAACAGCTTATGTAAAAACGTAAGGTCATGAAAGTATCATCAGACAGGGAGAAAATGATACATAAAAGGGGGATAGAAAGGATCTAAAAAACTACCGACCCATAAGCCTCCTTTCAATTACTGACAGTCTGGCCTACAGAACAGGCAGGCTTCCGCAGTGGATTCTCAACAATAGACCACATCCACACACTCACCCAAATAAAATAAACAAATATAGGAAACCCCTGTGTATGACATTCATCGATTGCGAAAAGTCATTTGATTTTGTACATATACCAGCAGTACTAGATGCTATTCGAAGACAGGGAGTAGAGGAGGTATATTGTATAATACTACAAGATGTATACGAAGATGAGACAGCAACCATCACGCTCCACACGGAAACCGATAAAATACCTATTAAAAAAAGGTGTTAGACAGGGCGATACCATCTCACCAAAACTGTTTACATAAAGAGGCCAAGAGCCAGATCAATGACAAGATGGCATAACGAAATTTGGGAGCCTAGACAAAAACGCAAGACAAAGTTGGAAAAGATTGGGAGAGATTTAGGCTGCTGCTGATATATATATATATATACATATATATATATATATATATATATATATATATATATATATATATATATATATATGTATGTATGTATGTATATATATATATACATACATACATACATACATACATATAAATACACACATATACATATATGTACATATATGTGTATATATATATATATATATATATATATATATATATATATATATATATATATATATATATATATTTATATATATATATATTTAGATATACATGTATATATATAAACGTATATTTATTTGTATATATATATATATATATATATATATATATATATATATATATATATATATATATATATATATATATCTACACATTTATATATATACACACATATACATACACACACACACTCCTGGGTATGAGGTTAGATTCACTACCACCTAGTTAGTTAAGTAAGTTTATTAATCACCCTGGCTATCTGCTCAGACATGGGCAATCGTGATTTCAGTTTTATATATATATATATATATATATACATATATATATATATATATATATATATATATATATATATATATATATATATATATATATATATATATATATATATATATATGACATTAAAAAGTATTCTGTGACAAATGTAACTGTACATAGTAAAGTGAAATATAACTCATACATCATAAAAAGATATTACGTTGATATGATTTTGCCACTGTGTTTACATAACACTGTTGTTTGTTTACGGTAGTTTTTAGTACGAAAATATCCTCCAATGTATTAGGTGAAATCAATTATTCATGTTAGGTGGTCTGAATGGCTGTATCACATGGCATCCTGAGATATAATGCTCAGGCGTTCGCTTGTTTTCTTCATTACACAGTCTACATCTAGATTCATCTGCACTTGCACCGTGCAGCTGCCAGTACATTCTGTAACCTAATCGCATTCTGGCAATAACCACGTCACATTGTCTGGTTTGACTTCGGTGCCACCCATAGGAAGGCTTGTTATCTCTATACTAATCGTAGTGCTCTATGGTACAGCTCTCAGGTCTTTGAGTGTTTGTCCTAATGAGAACTTTTTAATATATGTGCAACCCTAGCAAGAGGGATCCCAAAATCTGTGTTCACAGTATCTTTGCTGCAGGTTTCCTTCACCAATTTGTCTACGTAGTCGTGCTTGCGTATGCCAGCATGAGATGGTATCCATGCAAATTGAATGTTGAAATTACGCTCTATTGCATACGTTACGTTACGCTTAATGCGACTCACAATTTCCTCATCGCCACCTGCTTTGAAAGAACTTAGTGTCCATAGTGCAATTTGAGAGTCACAGAAAACTTCTTCAGAGCCCAGAGACATTAGGAATAACGTTGCAAAGAGTATACCTGCTAACTTCGTTTGTGTAGTGCTGGAATTAAATTAAAGAAAAGGGTAAACAGGTGAGACAGGCAGTACAAGTACAAGTGTCGCCATCTATGTGTAAAAACAATTAAACAAGTAAACTCACAGTGGGCATGTCACGTATATGTGACACCCGGCACAAATGGGTTAATATCTCCATTCTATCTTGCCTATACTCAATATTATTAATTTACCTTTTTTTTTCAAACTTAATCATGAGAACTGACCACCTTCTGACCAACAAATTAGAATACTTTGAAGAACTGTAGTTTAGAGTAAACAAATTCTGATGTTATGAAAGCCTGGAACCTGAACTTTGTAGAGATGTAAGGTGTAAGGAGATAAAACACTATTGTGAGTTTGGGATTTTTATTCTAATACAGTAGAGAAATAGAACACCACTGCTGTGATTTAAATATCCAAATATTCAGTCAGTTTATAATGTTGAGAATGTTTTTTTTGAGAGAATGCACATACAGTCTCCATATGTGGGAGCAATCATTTAAACTTTGCCAAAAATCAATAGTAACTTAACCTAAAGACTCACAAACATACTACAGTCTTAGTACTGAGCACAAATATAAAGTGACTTTTGCTGATTATTGTTTTACAGTTTCTTCAAAGTAACATACAATTTAATCCCATATCGCCAGGAAAATGTAGTGTTCACCATAGTATTGTTATATGAAATGTCTCTGCACATATGGCTCCACAAGTGTTTAACCATCAAAGGAGTCAACCAGTAGACCTTGTGGCCTTACCTGATTCCACTTTTACTCGAGTTTGCAAGAAAAGCTCTTTTTTTTCTTTTTTTCTTTTTTACTAATGCTATTAATATTGATGCTGTTATTATTATTATAGACATAGTCATTATTATGATGGTATTAACATTACTAACAGCAATATAAGATACCAGAAAATATTTCTGAAAATCAAGGAAAAAGGTAAATAGGAGAGATTGGTAGTACCAATACTTGGCTCACTGTGGAGCTACCTATGTGTAAAGACAATTGATAACTAAACTCACAATGGGCACATAACATCCCTGGCGGCATCAGGTTAACATAACTAGAACTAGGAAAACAAAAAACAAAACAAAAAAATACAATCCTTTATTTCTATGCTCAAAAAATGTACTTCACATATGAGAATCTACAGGACAGACAAATAGAAAGTTGTCTATCCACATGAGAAAGAGCTCATGTATGAAATGTACAACATAACCTTCCTTACAAAAAATGCACCCATACTGAATCAATAAATCTACTTTCTTCTATATACTGATAAAATCTCTACACCTACCCTACCTTCTGAAAACAACGTGAAATATGTAATGATGACAATGAATGAACATTGAGAGGTCTGATGAGAAAGTGAGCCAAAGTTCATGGCAAAGACACAGGCAAGAGCTATTTTCCTTATGTCAAAGGTGCATGATGACAGCTGCTTTATTTCCTTCTTGACAGTGAAAATTAGTCAAAGTACTTCAAGATCACTGTTAAGAATTTTGCCCATCACTTCTTAATGAGGCTGAAGAGTGGAGACACTTGGACTTTAAGTACAACCTTACAACAACATATGAAAAAAGTAAATTTCCCTTTCATTATACCAAGTGGTGTCATAACCATCATTAAGATAACCATAATAATAATAGTTAATGAATGCATAAATTATAGATGAAATGACAAATGTACAATCAAAAAGGGAAAAATGATTTCTTTACTAATGGACACTTGCCTCAGGAAGATTAACTTCAAATTAAAACCTAGCTAAGCAAAATGTCTACACATCACAAGCTATTATTCACCAAGATGTGAGAGCTACAAACCAAAATGTATCAAACTGAGAATAATTTCTTCAACAGAACACAACATTCAGTGGGATTTATAATACATCCAGAGGAGAGATTCACAACACAGTATCATGTGATGAAAAATGAAAATGACTATTGCTTGGAATGCAACTGTGTCACATCCAAATGCAAACTAATGAAATGAAAACATACTATTTACAAAAATTCACACACACATCTGTGCAAAATGAATAAAAAGTTCTAATCTTCCCACTGTGTGTGTCATGTGAAATTCACATCTGTTACTTTAAGGATTCACAGACTGACCACATTTTCCATCTATTATGCATTCATAGAAAAGTATACAGAAAGGACTGATCATCCTGGCAACTGTCTTCTCCTGCAATCAGCACCTTGTTTAATAATTATTTGTTCCCTATCAAGAAAGAAAGTATGAAAGGAGCAATGTTGGTGTACGTGATATTATGCAATAATTATATACTTGATGTTCTTCATTTTATACTGAGAAAATTAAAATGAAAACAAATAATGTCTATCTTTTACATTCCCAGAGTTTTCTTCACTTTTTAAAAATCAAATTATTTAGGAAAGAAAATATACAAAGGAAATATACAATGTAGTGATTTTCAAATGTTATTGTACTTTAATTCACAAGATGACCAATAAGGAGAGTTCTCACTAAGACAATATAGGTCCTGAGCTCTAACTCCCTCACAGATTTTACCTACCTCATTACAAACCTATTATCTACCCTGTGATGCTATGATCAGCCTGAAATCATGATCTGTAGATGAACAGTGAATGGCAATGAAAAAGTTAAATGGGATGCTAATACCATGACTTAATAGCAAAGTAAAAATATTTTTCAATGTCACATATTTTCTAAATGTACTCCCCCCCCCAAAAGAAACTGCTTATGCCAGAATTGATATATTATCTAGGGGTTACTCTTTTAAAAACTAGAAATGCATAAAACTCAATATCCTTCATGATATTTGCACTTTAAATAAATCAAACACAACAGCTTTAATATTTTTCGTCATAATGTGATGAATATGACATGACTGGCTTTGTTACAATAAGGCATCCTAAACCTAACCCCAAACTACAAGTCCTTGGCCACTGGTCGTCCATCCAGGATGGCCTTGATGTCATCAGCATCCAAGGTCTCATACTTCATGAGGGACTCGGCAAGAGCTTTGTGCTCCTTGGCATGGGCTTTCAGAATGGATTTGGCACGCTCGTATGAGTCCTAGAGGAGGAGGAAGGAAACTTTAGTAAGTCAGTTGACAGAGGAGAGGCTAGGGGATATATCCATCTTGTTTGAACCAATTTCAAATGCATGCAGGCACATGCACACACATACACGCACACATGCATGTGTGCTTGCCCACATCCACACCCACACCCAACACACCCACTCCCACCCACACACACTCACACTCACACTCGCACTCGCACTCGCACTCGCACTCGCACACACACATATATATATACAAAATTCCCAAGCTATTTTACAAAATCATCAAGCACTCTCTCCCTACCTGTAGCAATTTTTTTATTTCATGGTCTATAGCTTCTTTAGTGGACTGGCCAAGGGAGTCTCCCGTGCTAATCAGCTGGCCAGTGTTGTCTTCAAAGGTCCTCAAGCCCACACGATCACTCATGCCCAGGTCCTTCACCATGTGCGTAGCAATGCTTG